AAATCTGTGGTTTGTGTATAGGTCTCAAAGGGATAAGCATCTTTGCAGCTCTGCATATGAAATTAGGTCCAGTTATACTCAGGAAATGGGGTTTGTTCTGTCCCAGCAGAAGAAATTCGTTGAGAAGGACTGACATGTAAGCCTTTCATTTCCGATCTGTCTGCTAGAGTAGCACTGATGATTTTATGTGGTAGATGTGAGTTGCATTAAAAGATGAACAGGTAGCATTAGCGGTAGATCGTCTATTATATTCTCACCTACTGAATACATCCTTTCTGCAGCACAGAACAGATCTTCTATCCATTCCAGACACGGCTGAAATTCAAAGATTAACAAAGTGATCCCAGCCGGTATTATAATGGTTAGCACCCTGAGATATTTATCCTTCACTGTCAAGGAGTTAGAGTAGATGTTCTAATAGGCAATTTCCATCCGTAATGTCTGTGATTCTTCTAGTTGAAAGGCAGCTTGGGATGCAGGAGTTATAATTTCTAATTATTATTTAGCTCTGATTTATTTCTTCAGAGTGTTTGCATTGTTACTGCCATGAAATAGTATGGAGTAAAATTCTTAGCCTCAATGTTATTTATTAAATTAAGCCATTTTCTCTGATGTGCACAAGTATTTCTCTGTGAAGAATACCCCAGTTTGCATGAACTGAGGAGCAGAATGGTCTCAGGTTTAGGTGCCAGGCGGCACTGAGCTCTGGTCCCATCTAGATCATCGTAGGCTGTTGTAGCGCAGCTCATTTTGCCTCCAGCTGTCAGTCATCCCACTCTGGATCCCCAAACAGTCCCTTCCTGGGGATTCTGCATCTTCCCCTCTTGATATCAAATCTGGTGCTAGTCACAGAGGTCTGCAAGCAGTTGGTGCTTTTATCTAAAGCACAAACCTCTGGAATCAGGAAGCTAGTTTTCATGAAGAAAAAGTACATTTTTAGCAGGTACAGTTACAGAGAAAAAAATGAGTGCACGCTAAAGGTTCAGAAGCTAGGGAGTAAAAATACATTTTTTTCCTAATTATATTATCAAAAGCACTATTAAACCCCTAAAGATTATTTTTGTTTTAATTTTCAAATGGTTGCTTACGTTGGGGCTCTGCTTCTCCATTTCTGATTTCTGTCTGTGCCCCTTCATTCCATTCTTCAGCTATTGGGAAGGGGACAGGGAGGGATCCTGGCTGTGCAGGACCCGCAAAGACCTGCTAGGGAGCCTTCCTGCTTTCTGCATCATCAGAAAATTGTAGGATGCTAAAGGAGCCTTTCTTTTCTTTTTCAGTTCTCCTTTTCCCTAGTTGCAGCAATTTCAATGCTTATCTCCCCACTCCTGGCACTTGGGAATGTTGATAAATGTTTGTCTTCAGCTGGAGCCTTGATCCTTTGTTTACGGCCTCTTTAACATCAATATTTTGGTGATCAGAAGGACAGGGAAAGAACAGTTTTCCACTGCTTTCATGATCATGGGGTAAATACTAGAAAAACCCAGACTGGATGTGAAAATGACTGTTTTGCCATTTATTTCCTTCTGGATGGGCCAGGTGCACACCTACTCATGTGTGCTTAGAGATCTGTAATCACCTATGCACAAAGACTTGACTAAAATCGGTTCTGAAATAAGAAAAAAGAAATGTTTTTCATTGATGAACTATCACCAGCAGTGAAGCCGGCAATTAAAGTCTTACACATCTGCTGAGTTAGTGATTGAACACTACAAATTTGAAGCATGCAAAACATCCAACATCAGAGTGCTGATTTGACTGAGGTCTGGTAGCTTGCCTCTCCCATATGCAGAAGTGTGGATTCCTCTAGGAAGGACTTTGCAGCTCCCCAGGGCACAAGAGTCTGGAGGAGCCCCCTGACCCAATGGACTTCCTCGAAGAAATTCTGATAGAAGCAAAGTGGTTTCTAGCTGAGCCTGTTGTGCTCTTCAGTGCTTCAACTTTCATGTTTAAAATTTTAAGCACTCAAGTTTTTAAGAGCATGACTGCTGAAGCACTTCTGAGGCTCAGCTAGGAGCCACTTAGCTTTTACGAGGAGAAATCTTTGAAGCCTTATTAGGGTTAAGGAGAAACTGTCTGTGTACCTGGCTGCCCTCTTGGCTCGGCCCTCCCTGTTCCATATCGTCTCTTTCTTCTCTGATTCTATCTGGTTATCTTAGGATGCAAAAGGAATGGGATGGAGAATTTGAAACTGCATTTATGTAAATTTAGACTGAGTCATCTGGGATACTGTGTGCAGTTCTGTCACCTCAGGTGGGGTTTGTCTGTCCTACTGAAACATTTAAAAGATGTGTAAGTCTAAAGCAATCACTCAACATCTTTTCTAGACAAAAGAAGGAAGTGGGTATTTCTAAAGACCGAGTCCTCAGGCATGTATTAGATGCAATCATAAGATGAAATGAATCACTTTGGGTGCCTACAGTTGGGCAGATGAGCCCTACCGTTCATTTCCGAAGGTGTTGCAATCAAATGAAAGACATTTCAGAGGCAACAGAAGATGGCTAGGGAATAGGCTAAAGTTTCTGTCCTCTGAGAAGAGATTGGAAAGCTTACGTTTGATTGCCTTAGGAAAGACATTTATAACAAGGGATGCAATTAGAGTGGAAGTCCTCTCCCCCTTGTCTCCAAAACTGGAGGCAATGAAGTTAAAAGAAGGGAGAATTAAACTAAAAAAAAACCAAAAAAATTTTTTATACAATGTCTGTCTAAACTGGAATTCTTTTTCAAAGGATGTTGTCCAAGTTAAAAAAAAACTAAAAAATTTCAAGATCATTTAGACAAATATCTTCATAAAAATTTTCTCCAGTTAGTCTTGAAAGCATCTTTGAGGAGCTATTACTCCTCTAGCTTCAGGTCTTGAGCCAGTTTTGCACTACTGGAGAGCCAGGTGAGATCTAGGGAGAAGGGCAGATTTCTCTACGAGTGCATCCTGCAAACAGCCGCAGCTGGTGGAGTCACAGCGACTGTCATGCAGGGGTGCCATGTTCAGGATCGCTGCCGGCTGCTGTGCAACGGCAGTGGGCTTTGGTTGCAGTGCTAAGTGGCCAGGTGGAAGAGTTGTAGGAGATAGTGAGCAAGCTGTACGCATCAGGGAGGATGGACAGGTCTTTCCAGAGGCCCTGCAGAGCCAAGTACCTGAGCCCCATGTTGCAAGGAAGGAGAGAAAAATAGAGATAACCCTTGAGGGTCGAGGGTGGAGCTCCTGAGATGGAGAATGCTGGAGGTTTGTTCTGACAACACAACTAAGGCCCCTTTTCCACCTATGGTTCAACGATGCCCTGGGAAGAGGAGGGAGAGATGACCTCCCTTGGGATAAGACATCAAAGCCAACTGAGCCTCAACTCTTAGAGGGTTTCTTGAAGAAAAGGAGGGTGGTAGGTATCAAACTCTCTCCTGAGGAGACAGAGGCACTCATCTGCCAGCCTGTCTTGCTGCCTCAGGAGGTTTGCTGCTTGCCAAGAGCTTGGTCATAGTGTTGCAAAGAGGCTGCCAAAGCTTGTCTGTTATCTTGGAGCATGACCGCTGCTGCTCATGCATGTGGGCACCAATGATACAGCCAGGGGAGACCTTGAGTGTATCAGGAGTGACTACATGGCTTTGAGTGCAAGGGCAAAGTGTGTGAGTGCCCAGTTGGTGTCTCCTTGATTCTGCTGGTGAGGGGGAAAGGCTCTGGTTGGAGTGGACACATCTAGTAAGGCAGTCCCTGACTGTGTGGCTGGTGTTACTGGCAGGGCTCTGGTCTCCATGGGCATGGGGTACTCTCTGAGGAGCAAGGACTGCTGAGCAAGAATGGGATTCATCTGACAAAGTGAGGTGAGAGTGTCTTTGCTAACAGGCTTCACAACCTTGTGAGGAGGGCTTTAAACTATGCTTGGTTGTGAGGAGGGCTTTAAACTATGTTTGTCGGGGAAGGGGTTTCATTCTCTGAAGAGAAGGGGGAGCAGTGAACAAGTATCAGGGGAACAATAAGATGGAAGAGCCTCTTACGCTCACCTCATGAAAGCAGCGTGACTGGGAGCCCATCTCAAGTGCCTGTGCCCAAATGCAGGCAGCATGGGGAACAAACAGGTGGCGTTAGAGATCCCCATGCTGCCACTGAGCTTGGACCTCATGTGGGATTGCACACACCCCTGTGTGGAATGGCTCTCAGGGTGGGAGCGCTGCAGGAGATGGACACACGTTACCCAGAGAGGTTGTGGGATCGCCATCCTTGGAGACACTCAAAAAATAATCTGGACAAAGACCTAAGCAACCAGTTGTAACTCAAATTACAATATGATTCTGTGATTTTGATTTTTTACAATTTATTTTGACACATTAGGGTTAGCCACGGCCTGATGTCTGGATTCAGAATTAATTCAGGGAAGTCCTGTGGCCTCTGCCATGCAAGAGATCAGTCTAAATACTTTCAGTGGTCCCTTCTACCTTATATTTCATCGTTCCAGATGGAGCTTGCATATAATCTGTTATGGCAATTCTTGGATTAATTTACAGTTAACATAGCAATACTGGTATGTCTTAATTTGAGTTGCATACCAAATATTAATAAATCATTATAATAAAAATGAATTGTTAAAATTTACTATTTTAGGTAATAGTCACTATTTTACATTTATATTAAATCTTTCATTTTAAGTGGTCATGAAGCTTTACAACCTCTCCAGTAAATAAGTGCCACTGGGTACCCGCATGGCATAGACGTACATTGTGGTAGAGGAGGTGCATTGTTATAGGCTATCTTTTATTTCCCCAAATGGCAGAAACTGTTTTTCTTGGAGAGGCTACTAGAAGAAGGCTTAGCTCTTTTGCCTCCATCCAGTCTTGCCAGTGGATGCAGACAAGAGGTGGAAATGTTTTCCTGCCCACTCTCTCTCTCATAGGCAATGCTTAGTCAGTAGTGGAAGAAGAGGTACACCAAACTACCACCTGTAAGCAGGTGTCATATCTTTTCTTTCCGTTTTGTTTAGTCATGGCCACAATTACAGAATTACATCTATAGCAAAATGACGTTCACCAGTGATGAAATACAGGAAACTGAGAAGGTGAGCATAGTGGCTTTTTAACCATGCACAGTGACATGCCGTAATATTTCTTGTCAGAAATGAAGAAAGACTTTGTGACTTCTCAGGTCAGTTTTCATACTGGCTGTAAGCACATTACACAGAGCTCTGTTTATGACTAGTGTTTTAATCATAAATCCTATTTTTTGTCTGTACTTAATTTCTAAGATTTGATAGGAGATGCTAATGAAAAGGGGTATGAGTTTATGGGATTGTATAAAATTGTCTGACAACAGCTAGGCAGATGATTTAGCTTTCAGAAGAGAGAGTTACCAGTACATGGGCTATTTTTTTTTCATTCAGCACTAGAGGAGAAGGCAGGTCTACTGACGAAATAAGCTCAGGACTTAGAGGTTGCTTGTATGGTCAAATCTTGAGGTATTCAGAAAGATTTCTCTCTGGGTAAGGAGTGCAACATCTGTGTATCAGGCGTGAGAAAGGCAAAGACAGTCCGTGAAGGATTGCTCAGGTGTCATAAGCTGCAAAACTTCCTGAGAAGACAAAAAGCTATTTTCCTTCCTCTCTGCTGTGGTACCAGGCATTGCTGCCTTCCATACGCTTGCTGTAAAAGCTCTTTGGGAGAACCAGAAGGGAGATTTAATTTAACAATCAAACATTTCTACCATTGCCTATTTCAGAGGAGTTGCTAGTGGAGTACTAATGTTCTGTGTGTAGGGAGTGGGGCTGAGGGAAATGCTCTATGGAGATGGGAGATGGCAGCTGTCTGGACGTCTTTGCTTAAAGCCATTTTGCTTTGCCTTGTTGCTAGAGTGGGAAAACACATTTTTTCTATATGTGAAGAATGGATTTTTCTGCCTGCTGAGCACAGGAAAGCTTTTGAATCCTGTGAGAACAGGCCATGAAATATACTTGTAGCCCATCAGGCCTAAGGACTTCCAACACCTGCTGTACCACTGAGAAGGGGATGGTTTTTTGATATGTGATGGTTTCATTCATATGGTGCTTCCATTGTGTTTTGCAAGAGAACATGTAACTTTTAATCCCTTTTAGCACAGGAAACTTGGCTCCCACAAAGAAGAGAAGTAATTATCTGATTCAGAATTAACAAAAAACCCTCTTTCAGGTTTACATTTATTTTGAGCTTATTTTTGTTAAGTGCATGCATTTCTACACATTTGAATTCAAAACAGTAGACACGTTCTTATAGTTTGGTATTAAAAAAGAAATTTTTACAATTGCACAAACCTAGTGCAGCCTGATATACGCTTTTT